TGTGTGTGTGTGTGTGTGTGTGTGTGTGTGTGTGTAGGCTAGAGGTCTCTCCTTCCATCTGTCACTTCCAATCTTAGTGACAGAGTCAGTCTCACTGAACCTGGCTCCCCCTAATTCATCTCAAGTAACCAACCAGTAAAGACCAGGGATTTTCCTGTAGCTATTTTGTCAGTTCTGGGATTACAGGTGCTCACAACCATACCTGGCTGTTTTTAAAATGGGTTCTGGGGGATGCATGGCAAGTCCTGTAGTGACTCTTAACACTGTCCACTAGGAAATGTTTGAACTTTAACCCAGTCAATACAAGATGTCTTAAAATTATTTTGTTGTAGCAGGGTGGTGGTGATGCACACCTTTAATCTCAGCACTGGGGAGGCAGAGGCAGGCGGATCTCTGAGTTCGAGGCCAGCTTGACCTACAGAGTGAGTTTCAGGACAGCCAGGGCTATAGAGAAACCCTGTCTCAACCCTCATCCCCTCCAAAAAATCCCCCACTAACCTGAGTTATTGAGATACCATCTCAAACAAATCATTGAATCAATTTAACAAGGGAGCCGTTCAGTCTTGCAGACTCCAGTTTTGGAGTGTAAGCGCAGCACCATCAGGATGGCTCCGTGGGAAAGCGCCTGCTTGCCATACAATCTGAGTGTGATCCCCAGAACCCACTTAAAAATAAAAGGATAAAGCCAGCTCCATGAAGCTACCCTCTGGCTTCTGTATACTCCTCAACCCAGCATACATGCACACAAAGTTGAAATTAAAGAATATAAGCAGACTTTACCTGTGAGTTAATGTATTTGTTCAGATATGCTAATTAATAAATGATAGTTACTTTGGCATGCATATTTCCATCTTTCAGATGAATATGGATGTTCAGTCTGCATTACATCAGATTCCCAAACTGCAATAGCTCCTAAGGATCTATATGCTTTGGTTTGTGCAGCAGTGATCTGTGAACCCTTACTTGGGTCATACTCTTGCTCTTAGATTATAAAGTGTTACGTATTTTCAATTTTCCAATAATATCTAGTCTTCCATAATTAATCATAGTGATTACTAGTTCTCACTAAGAAGAAATCATCTTCATTGGCAACTAGCCATTGCCATCCCAATGACAGTCCCTAGGCTTCTGTGTCACCTTAACAGTAGAAGGAACTCTATTCAGGACAGAGTGAGTTCCGGGAACTCCTGCACTCCTTAAAGCGTCTCTCCAAGAAAGGCTTTTACATTCGTCTTACACATGAGGGTCCTGAGGTAAGGTGGTCTTAGTGAGCAACTGAGCTGAGACTCGAAGCTCCTGAAATGAGAACGAGACTTCGTCCTTCTCGCCCGCCTGTACTGAGTCTTACCTTTGCTTTCCTGGGTCAGCAGTTTCCTAAAACTTGGAATTTCTGGGCTGCAGGATGGACACAGTTATTGCAGTAAGGGACTCACTGCAGCTGTGTTCCTGGCACAGGACGAGCACAGTATCGGCCTTGTCAGCAGTCAGTAGCGGATGGGGTGGGGCTCATGGGGCTCTATCCCTCTGTGCTGAACTTAGTGGCTTACCGACAGATTCTGGAAGAGGGTGAGTCATTGTCTTGTCCACTGATAAACCCACCAGGTTCTAGTGGAGAATTCCAAACCCATGGTCACACAGATGCTTCTAGATAAACTCAGTGGGTCACAACACAAAGCAAGAAGATGGGAACATGGGAAAGAGATTCGTAGGAAGGAAGGGAACTGACAAGAGTGGAAGGAGATAAAGAGTGAGGCTGAGAGTAATCAGAATGTACTATATACGAATATGAAATTGTTAAATTATGAATTTAATTTTAAGAAAAGCATAGTGTGTCAAGGGTTTGTGTGTGTGAAAGCAGGTGTTGGGGTTTTGATTTATTTGGCTGAATGACGTCCCCGTGTATGAATGAGCATGGGTGGTTGATCCATCAAAGTCAATGGGCATTTGTATTTCCTTTCGGCTGTGCTGCCCTGAGTTTGTGTGTAGGATTTTTTCGTTTTGTGCTGCCAGTTTGTTCCTAGGTCTTCCGGAACTTGGGAGGTTCAATGAGCCTTCCCCTCGATTCCATCATTTCTGTGTGAGTACAGGTTGTAACCGCAACCTCGGAATGTTTGGATCATGTATCAGGGAGGTATTTTGCAAGTATATTCCTATGCCCTGTGTTTTCTCTCAGACTTGCCCTTCTTGTGGAATCACATTTGCTCCTAAATCTGAAGCTGGTGCAGAAGGAGGAACTGTGCAAAATGGCTGTCAAGACGAGCCTAAGACCGGCACCAAGGTAACAAGCTCATGGCTGTTGTTCCTGTCAGTACCTCTCCTGGCGCATCCACCTAAGGTGACATTCCTGTCTCATCAACTTCTTAGTTCTCAGAATAGCTTCTCTTAGGTAATAGCGTTCCATGCCTTCTAGGTGTGGTTTGAATAGACCAGTAACTAAAATGATGGAGGGCTGGAAGTCTAGCTCAGTAGTGAAGGTAGAGCATGTATTTTGCATGTGCAAGGCCCGAGGTTTGATCCCCAACATTGAAGAAAAATGAAACAATAAAAAGCAGGATGGCTAGTCAGAGCCAACCCATGTAAAGTAGAACTGGATGTGATTCTTCTGGGGCAACCAGTTCAAAAGGCTTGGATTACGGGGCTATGGGCTGGGCTTTCTATTTGGTAGAATGCAGAGGTGCAAAGGGGACACAGTGACTCCTCCAGGTAAGAGATGCACCCTAGAAGGAGGCTCCTGAGGCAGAGCTAACAGCCTGGAGCCAAAGCTCTGAGGCCAGGGCAGGCCTGGGGTGAAAGCAGAGTAAAGCCTGAACAAAGAGCTTCGGGAAGACTTTGGAAACTGCCCCCTGGGACCCCTCTCTGTCATTCTCCTTCTGCCAGTATCAGCAAGGGACTCAGATGGGATGTTTTTCATAGCCAGAGGTTCCCCAGACTAAGTCTGTTCATTCTTCATCTAGAAGCCTGGGTATTCCTTTCCCAGAACCTTCCTTGAACTTTCTCGGGGAAGCCATTGACCTTCCCTATAGCCCTCTTCTGTGTTAAGCTGGCCTTTTTCACATCATGGATATTCTAAGACCTCTTTTTTCTTCTGGCTGCCAAACACCCAGACATGTCCTGTCTCAAAGCAGGGCCTCAGGCAAAGCAGGGTTAGGGGAGAAGTGGAAGGTTGGGTGGGAATAGATTCCCAGTCCTCCGTCTGGAGGCTCCAGCATGCTGCGGGTTGGGTGAGAACGGTGTGTGCTCCTGGCGACTACTTCACTCCCTCTGCTCCTTCCTTTGTCTTGAGGCAGGCTTCTGGAGGACCCAACTCCAAGACCCAGAACGGACTCCTGAGCCCTCCTCCAGAGGAGAAGCTCACCAATAGCCAGACCTCCCTGTGTGAGATCCTGCAGGAGAAGGGACGGTGGGCAGGTGTGAGCTTGGACCAGTCAGCCCTCCTCCCACTCAGGTTCAAGAACATCCGTGAGAAAACTGATGCCCACTTTGTGGATGTCATCAAAGAAGACAGGTAAGACCCCGCAGCCAGCAATGTGGCAGTCTGCAGTTGTGCATCCTGTGATGGTGGCAGAGTCTGCAGTTGTGCAGCCTGCGATGGTGGCAGAGTCTGCAGCTGTGCTCTTTCTCTGAGCTGTCTCAATCCATGTGTTTGTCCTCTGTTGTAATTATATTACTTTATTTTTATTCTGAAGTAATTTGAAACTTGAAATTCATAATATATTCTACCTGATCTACCATCTTTTGGCATTTTAAAATTTTCTTTATTCTTTCTTTATTATTATTATTATTATATTTCTTTAGTGCATGTGCCCCTGCATGTGAGTATAATGCATGTTAGAGGCCAGGTCAAAGGCCAAATACAGGTTGTTAGGCTTGGTGGCAAATGCCTTTACCTGCTGAGCCATCTCACCTGCCCATTTTTTTTATTAATTGTTTTGAGTACCATACAAAGAAATAGGTTTTGTGATGTTTTTATCATTGCACTTTGTTCTTATTTACTCTCCCCCAACTTTTGGGGGAGCAGTGATTGACTCTGGGTCTCACTGTGTGGTCCTGGTTAGCCTAGAACTTATTATGTAGATCAAAATGGCCTTGTTCTTGTAGAGATTCTCTGCTTCAGCAAACATGGAACCCAACACACCCAATCTATATTTATCTTATAATTCTTTTTTTCTCCCTCTCCCTCTGTTCCCTTTTCCCCCTTCCCTTCCCTTCCCTTCCCTTCCCTTCCCTTCCCTTCCCTTGCCCCTTCGCCCCTCCCCTTCCCTTCCCCCCCCGTCCCTTCCCTTCCCTTCCCTTCCCCCTTCCCTTCCCTTTCCTTCCTTCTTCCCTTTCCTTCCCTTCCCTTTCTCTTTTTGTATTTTTTGAACCATTTGGCAAGTATGTTGGGTACAGTGTGGTCATTACCCCTTCGTATGGCAATTTCTAAAAATAAGGGTGTTGCTTAGGGATATTCTTTCTAGCCTTAAGTCCATATTGCAGATTGTCAAATGATCTGTCACATCTTTGGTGGCACTTTCTCCCTCTGGCCCGGGATCTCATCCAGGCTCCTATGTTGCATCTTTTACTGGTCAATCCTCTGGAATCTTTTAAAATCTGAGATAGCCCCTTGGCTGTCTTGCATAGTCTGTTGTGATACTAACATTGGAAAAACTTTCAGACCAACTCTTCTACAGAAAGATTTGGATGTTGGATTTTGTGAATTTTCCTATCAGATTCCTGTTCTGCTTCTCTGGCTAGGCTAGTGAGAGTGTTCATCATGTTCTTCTCCCCATGTCACATCCAGAGGATATGATGCCCGTTGGTCCTTAATATGTGATGGGCATCTTGACTGGGTGAGATATTACCAGTCTCTCCAAACTGTTGTTATTATTTTCTCATTAGGACTGCAGGCAATCAAGGAAGGTCATATAATTAGCCCACTTCTTGTCAAACTTCCTTAGGTCAGCATCTGTTGATGAGTCTTGCCTGAAGCCATCTTTGCTATGGTAGTTAAGTGGTGGACTCCGTTTGCAGCGTACTGCTGTGGGTGGAGGTCCCCTCCCGGTCCGACTCTATCCACCATCGTTACCCTGAACTCATGCACTCCTGTTATGTCCCATCCTTGTGCAGCAATGACCCTTTTCTCCAAGGTGCCCTGGCTTCTTTTCATGCTGAATGGTTTTTGGATATTTCATTAATACTTAATTTAATGCTATTGTCTGAAAACCTGCTCTGTGTGATTTCAGTTATTTCATATAAATTGAGACTTGTTTTATGTTCTCATATATGGCTTGTTGTGGTGAAGATATATATAGAAAAAAATATATATTCTGGGTGTCACCAATCCTTAACTATTTTTCAGAATAATCTATAAGCATTAGTTAGGTTCAGATGGCTGACAGTATTGTTCCAATAATCTGTTTGTTTACTTGTTTTCTGCTGTTCTGCCAATTATTGAGCAAAGAGCATTAGACTCTCCAGGGGTACCCTGGGAGTTTAGTAGTAGCTGGACACTCAGACCATAGTTTAGTTGTACCTCTAGGAGTTACAAACTCATACCTGTTCTGGTTTCCATTCTGATGTGGTGATAAACACCATGACCAAAAGCAACTTGGGGTAGAAAGGGTTTATTTCATCTTCTACCTCCATGTCATAGTCCATAGAGGGAAGCCAGGGCAGGAAATCAAGGCACCTGGAGCAGAAGCTCTAGAAGAACACTGCTCCCTGGCTCCTATTTAGCTATCTTTTTCATACAGCCCAGGACCACCTGCCCAGGGGTGGCACTGTCCACAGTGGGCTGGGCCCTCCCACACAAATCAGCCTTAAAGACCACAGGCCATTTGCCAGTCTGATCTGAATTATCTCAGGTTGACAACTGAAGCTAAACTTGGACTCCATCCTTAGGCTGTATTTGTTGACTTACAGTTAATGTTAAATCTTAAATGAGGACATCTTGCCATGTATACTTGTTCCTCTCCTCTCGCTGTCCATTCCCTTGCTGTTATATGAGTTCCACTGCATGAATTAGCAGTCCCTGCCCTGTTGCCCTAGACTCTCTCTAGTCTTCAGTTCATCTACAATGTTCATCTACATTTCTTTTATGTGGGATTGTGTTTTCCCATTCTTTGCAAGCCTAGTAACATTGTATTGTGCTGACATCCTGTGTGACCCTTAGAAAATCTGAATTTCATTGTATCTCTTTGAAGAACACTAAGTTTCTGTCTCAGTAAACAGTTCACTTAGCTGAATTCAAATGTCTCTTAGTTCTAACTGGGCTGCTTGGAGTCTACCTCTCAAGTGCAATTAAGATGCAATTCCAGGAGTCAGAATTAGATATGATAACAGTTTTTATGCAGGACCTGGGCTTCCTCTTTCCTGCCTTTTACTTTCTGGGATTTATAACCTCATTCTTTATCTGTAGTCACCCCCAAACTATATTGTCTAATTTTGGGGTTAACAATTTTTTTAAATATTTATTTTATTTGTTTGAACGTTTTGCCTGCATGTATATGTTATGTGTACTACATGTGTGGAAGTGAGAAGGGGACATCAGATCCTCTGACATGGGAATTACGGATGATTGTGAGCCACCATATGGGTGCTGGCAACTGAACCTGGGTCCCCTAGAAGAACAGTGAGTACTCTTAACAGCAAAGCCATCTCTCTAGTCCCTATTTTCTAGTTTTTAAGCCATTAAGACTGAATTCTAGAGCCAGGAATGGTGATGCAAACCCAAGATTCCAGTACTTAAGAGGGGAGCCTCTTTCCTCCCCCTTCCCCTGCCTTTCCTCTCCTCCTTTCTCTTCTCCCTGCCCCTGCCCCAGTCTTATTTATAGTCCGTGTGTCCTTAAACTCTTGGTCTTCCTGCCTTGGCCTTCTGAGTGCTGGGATTACAGGTTTTCCATCAGAGGGTTAGCCAGTGGTACTAACTCATGTCTGTCTCTAGGAAAAACCAAATGAAGGTTAAAGGTGAGAACTGTGCCTGGCTTCCTTCCCCTGTCCGGCCAGCAGTTCTGACTACTCTCTTGTGCCTCCAAGCAGTTGTCTTTACATTTTCTGTGGGACCCAGAAGCAGGGACTCCCAATATTAGTTACAAAACAGCCAAACAGCATCAACAGTGTCGATTCTGCCACTCGAATGCTGAAGTGTAGGCGCCAAAAGCCTTTTGCAGCTGCTGTGTTGTTTTCCCTCTGTCACTGTAAAGGCGGGCAGAGCAGTGTGCAGAAACAGACGTCCCTCTCTTGAGTCTGAGATGATACATTATTGCATACTCTTCACAGAAAAGGATCCAGTCTGCAGCAAGAAAAGGAGGAAGGGTAGCACTGTACACCACATCTAAGGCTCTCTTCCTGCTTTACATGATAGCCGGCTGATGGCTACTGGATATGGGAGAGAGAGTATACCCATATCCATATTATCTTCTGAAATCACACTAGTGTTCCCTTAAATTGATAGTAATTCTCCAGATCATAACAAGGACATTACAATATGCTGACAGTCCACAAAAGAATAAAAGAGTCACATAAATCAGGTTTGATTTCTCAGCTATTAAAATCATTGAGCACGATCACTTTCCAGGTCTCACCTGCACTCTGAGTATCTGACAATAGCCCCACAATTACCCCAGCTGTAAACACCGACTGGTAGTAACAACTTGTTACATTTGAGGTGTAATTACTGTCAATATTCTGGATGACAGGAAGCTTTTGGAACTGCCTTCATTTGACGCCTCCGAATCAGTGGAAGGCCTGTCAGTGACAAGATCTGCCAGATCTGCTGGCTCTCTGAGAAGATGTCTTACAGGAGGAAAGAGCCACCTTCTCTGTCCTGCAGTCCTGCATATGTGGACTGTGTTCTGAAGCAGGGTCTAATAGCGAGTGTGGTGATCGTGGTGAATTGTCATCCCTAACAAAGGGAAGCAGTGTCTGGTTGTGTCTAGAGACCCAGAGGGCTTTCCTAAAGGTCTGCTGATGAAAACAGCACCTGTCACGCAGTGGCTTTCGGAGGTAGCTTTGGTGATGTGCTCAGGGAGAGGCATCTGAGACTGATTCTGCTGGCTGACAGGGTGCGTTGGTTGTGTCTTCCAGCCTGATGAAAGATTATTTCTTCAAGCCACCCATCAATCAGTTCAGCCTGAACTTCCTGGATCCGGAGCTGGAGCGATCCTACAGAACCAGTTACCAGGAAGAGGTACGTTCTTCCTGGGACCTCAACAGGGGACACTGTTCATCTGTGCTTTACCAAGTGACAGGAAAATGAAGGCCAGTGTTGATTTCCCACAACCGGGAAGCCCTGTTTTGGAACTGTATGTGAATTTATCTTTGCCAGGGAGAAAACCAAGGCTCTTCATGCTCCTTTATCTTAGAGCCATGCCACATCCCTCCAGACTGCTTCCTCCATAGCTGGTGTTTCTGGTCTAATGGCTGTCCCCTGCCCTGGAAGGATGCCTGGCCACACCTGTTCTGGGTTTTGATGACACTTCTCTCCCCATAGTGCTGTCACTTCCAACCCTCTGAAATGGGACCAAAAAAATCAGGAGGTCTGTACCTCCATCCAGAATATGGGGTTCATATTTACACCATCTTAGAGCCCTTGAGATAAGGGGTTAACTTTCCTCTCTGCCTACACATCATTTTCCCCAAGAAGCCATCCTTGACGCCAGCTGGATTTTATTTTTCTGCGCCTTCTTTCTTCTTCATGTGCACCCCATTGTTGGAATCCTATGATTTCTGGACCTATCACTCAGCTCTCTGTTTCTGTGCTATCTAAATCCCAGCACAGCCCACACACCAGACATACTCGGCAGGCATGCGTGGAAGGAATGAATGGAGGAACCTGGAGCCTGACTGGAGCTCTCTTTCCCTTGGCCTGACTTGAGTGTCCCAGAGCGAAAAGGGCACCATCACTGGACCCCAGGACCAAGAGGGGTTTCATTCAGCTTCCATTTACTTATTGGGCAAATCTTCATTTTGATTATGTCCAACTCATGATGTATAAGACATGAGTAATCTTTGCTTTATGTGGTTAGAATTATTGCCTTGTCAGTCCCTCACTGGACAGTGAGTGTCATCTAACATTCCAAACACAAATCCTGCAGGTATTTGCCTAAAGCAAGAAGTATTGAACCTGAGCACTCTAGTCCAAGAGTTGGAAAAGTTGGGAGACCTTGGTATTTAGGTGAGAATGAAGGACCTCCCCCGACCAGTGGCTGACCTGAGTCTTCTCTGCCCAAGCCCTGGCTACTCATATCCCAGAATGCAAATTAGATTCCAGAGAGAGAGCAATGACAAACATGTGCCTCTGCAGAGGAGGCACTGTGGCAGCGGCAGCTTCACCTCCAAGATCTTAGGTCTTTTTAGGGAACCTCAGAAGTTAGGGCCAGGCCCGAGGCCATCTGCAGAGCCTATGTCCATTTTGCTCAGGTGAGTTCAGGTTTGACATTGGGCTGACCAGTGCTCTCATTCCCCAAGGCCAAGTCCTGACTTTTCCCATCTTGCGCAGTTCCTGGGGTCTATCTAAGGCTGAGGAACCGAGCCAATTTGGTCTGAAAGGAACTTGCACTAAACTGAGAGCTGGTCACAGGCCTCTCCCTCCCACATACCTCCAGCCCCTTCATCCCTGACCCCTGCTGCCAAGGCTGAGTGCAAAGCCCCATCAGCAGTGTGCTTTGTTCTCGTCCTTTCTCTGCAGCCCCTGTCTAGACATTCTCTCTTCATCCTAAGACAGACCTGGGATGCACTTGGGAGTCAGCTTATCTGACTCTCATTCCTGGGTTCCCTGGGTTCCCTGGGGGTAGCCACTCTTAGCCTCCATCTACACACAAGGAGCAGTGGCGCCTCCTCCTGACTGAGATGATACCACCGTGAGGACCTACAGGGGTCTGGAACTGGTCATGCTTTGGACACATCTTGTGGTAGCAGTTTCCTCCTCCTAATTTCCTGGCAACACACATGCGCCTCTTCAGTAAATCACACAGTGTCCTGTCTATCACACAGTGTCCTGTCTCCTGCGCTTGGCATTCCACGATCAGGCTGCCAGTTCCCTTCAGGCATTGTTTCATGTCCACCCTACACCCACACCCAGCTAGCCCAGAGCAGCACACACACACACACACACACACACACACACACACACATACACATATACACACACACGCTTTATCTCTTAAAAAAATTGATTCATTTATTTTATTTCTTGTGTGTTTGCTTTCATGTGTATATGTGTGCGCACCACGTGTCCCCATGGAGGTCAGAAGAGGATATTGGATTCCCAGGATCTGGAGTTATGGATAGTTTTTAACATCCATGTGTGTGCTGGAAATCAAACCCAGGTCCTCTGGAGGAACAACAAAAAATCTCCACCTGGAAGGCTCTCTTGATAAAGGTTCTATGCTCCCATTCCACAGATGGGGACGTTTCCCCACCACTGCAGCTTTCCTATCTGCCTGTCTTCCCGTGAAGCTGACCCTCTCATCCATCCAATTACTGACACCTCTGTCACCTACGGCTTTCCAGATGTGCACTCTTGGTCTCTAGGACAGGAACTTGTCTTTCTAAGTGACTGCAAATGTGTTTGAGAGTCTGTTGCCTTTCAGTCTGCTGCTGTATGATCCTCTGCCTTGTCTTTAATTGTGGCGGTAATGAGGAGATGATCCACTTGGAGCATGCACCAGCCTATGCCTGGTCAGGAGCGCCTGGTCTTGACCCTCACACTGTACTTCCTGCCATCTGTGGGTCCATTTATCCCTGTCCTTTCCTGCTCTAACCAGGTCATAAAGAATTCTCCTGTGAAGACTTTTGCCAGCGCCACCTTCAGTTCCCTCCTGGATGTGTTTCTGTCCACCAAGGTGTTCCTGATCCTCTCCATCACCTGCTTCCTAAAGTACGGAGCCACGGCCACTCCACCCCCGCCCGCTGCCCTGGCCATCTTCGGTGCAGACCTGCTGCTGGAGGTGCTGTCCCTAGTAGTGTCCATCAGGTATGCACCAACTGGAGGAGTGACTCTCGAATGCTTAGCCTCTAGCTCCCCCTTCTGGCTCCACAGTTGATGGCAAAACTGATTAACCAGCACAGGGGACAGGCATCTGAAGAGAACAGCACTTCTGTTTCTCCCTCTCACCCCATTCCATCCTCCTTGCAGGCACTGACCTTCACTCCACCCAGGTGGGACACTAGAGAGGGTCAGTCCCTGTGCAGCCCAGCTGATGCCTCATGGACCCTGGGTCTCCTAAATGAGAGATTAAAAGGAGAAGTGAGAAATTCAGAAAGAAGAAAGGGAGGAAGAAGTGCAACAGGAATACGTGACAGGCAGCAGCAGAGCAGAGCAGTCTCTGCTCACCTAGGAGCCAGCCCAGCCCAGTTGAGGAAGTTGTGTCAAATGTCTGAGCTTGGAACAGGCAGCACTTGCTTAGAAATGACACCAAATGTGCAAGCAACAAGAAAAACAGATAAATTGAACTTTACAAAGGTTCTTAAATGTTGTGTTAAAAAGAATACCATTGAAACCTGGCATAGTGGCACACACCTATAATCCTAGCACTTGGGAGACAGAGGCAGGAGAATCTGAAATTCAAAGCCATCTTGTTTACTTAGCAAGTTCAAGACTACCTGGGCTACACAAGGCCTGTCTCAAAACAAACAAAACCCACCTAAGAGTGGGGAGAAATAATAGGTCACATCTGTGACAAGGATCTAAAATCAGTAACATATCAAGTTCATACAGCTCAGTAATAAAAAGATAGCCAGCCCATTTTATTTTTTTAATTGAAAATAATTTTTATACAATATATTCTTGATCAGTTTCCCCTCCTTCATCTCCTCCCAGATCTTCCCCACCCATCGAATTCCAACTCCATGCCTCCTTCTTCTTTCTGTTTAGAAAACAAACAAGTCAAAAGAAAGAGAAGGCACAGGAAACACAAAAGTAGCAATGATTTTGTGTGTTGGCCATCTACTGCTGGGCATGGGGCCTGCCCTGAAGTGTGGTTTGTATGCCTAGTGAGACTCCCCTGGAGAAAATGAGTTTTACTTTGCAAGCAGTTGTCAATTGAAGATAGCTTCTTGGTTAGGGATGGGAGCTCCTGTCCACTTGTCTGCTTCTCAGCTTTGGGATCTGGGATCCCATCTGGCTCAGACGCATGCTGCGTGCTGCCACAGTCTCTCTGAGTTCATATGTGCACCAGTCCTGTTGTATCTGGAAGACACGGTTTTCTTGGAATCATCTATACTCTGTGGCTCGTACAATATTTCCACTTCTTGTTCTACATAACTCATTGACCCTTGAGGAGAGGGGTTTTGTGAAGACATCCCATTTATTTTTTTAAAGATTTATTTATTTATTTATTTATTTATTATGTGTTCAAATATTCTGCCTGCATGTCTGCAGGTTAGAAGAGGGCACCAGATCTCATTACAGGTGATTGTGAGCCGCCATGTAGGTGCTGAGAATTGAACCCAGGACCTCTGGAAGAACTGCTGCTCTTATCCGCTGAGCAGTTCTCCAGCCCCAGACATCCCATTTAGGACTGAGTGATCCTCTTCACATTGTCTGTCTGTGGGTCTCTGTGTTCCCATCTACTGCAGGAGGAAGTTTCTATGGTGATGACCGAGCAAGACCATGATCTATGCATATAGCAGAATAAAACAGCCCAGGGTTCTAGGAAGCCCATAACTCTCTGCCATTTCTAGTAGGTGTGGGTGCCCAGAGCCTTTCACTTACCAAGTATACTCATCCTAAAAGATGCTGTCCTCCTGACTACTCTGACAGTGGTCCTACTACCCTGACCAGCCCTGCCATGCTTCAACCTAGCTAAGTCTGCTGATAATTGCCCCCGGAGCTTGAGCTAAATCAGAAATGGCAACACCCCAAAGCAGAAAAAAACAAAACAAACAGCTTAGATCTGGCCCTGAGATTTCCATATTTATCTTTCCTTCCTTTAAGGTGGGCTGGCTGGGACACTCACCTCCTTCCTTTCTTACCCACCATCCTGCGGTTCCCTCTGAGCTACAGAGATTGCCCTCAGCCCTAGTTGGAATGATGTGTCTGCACCATCGCTCCAGCCCCCACTCACCTGCATCCTAAGAAATGGCTCACACACAAATCTTGCCAGAACAACTTCTCTAGAACTCAAGCCGAGAACTGCCTCGGCCTCTAAATGTTCTTTTTCTTTCTTTTGTATTTGTTGTTTTGGTGGTGCTGGGGATTGAACCCAGGATTTCACACGTGCTGGGCAGGTGACATATCCTGAGGTAGATACACACCCAGTCTTTTTTCTTTATATTTCCAGACAGGGTCTCACTAAGTAGCCTAGGCCAGCATTGAATTCTTGGTTTTCTGGCCTTGGCCTCTTGAGTGTCTGTGCCACCAGATCTGGATTGTTTTCCTTTTATTTTTTAAATGAACATGTAACCGGGCATGGTGGTATGTACCTATAAGCCCAAGCATTTGGAAAATGGAGACTGAAGGACCAGAAGTTAAAGGTCCTCTTTGGCAAGCTGCCAAGTTTGAGACCAGTCTAAGTTTTGTGAGACCCAATCTCAGAAAACCAAAAATTAAAAATAGAATGAGTTTTATTATGATAGTTCACATGCAATAAACTCATTCATTCCGATAAAGAATTTAGAGGCTGGGGGTGGGGTCGCCCAGTGGTGGAGTCAGGGTCCTGGGTTCAATACCTGGTACTGCCAAAAAAAAAAAAATGTAGAAATCAGTGAGTTTATTTAAAGTGAGTAAATTTAAAGAGTTGTACAAATATCATCACAATGTAATTTGAAGATTTTTATGTCACCCCCCCCAGAACCCCTCATGCCTGTGTATACTCTCCTACACCCACACTGTCAAGGTTTGTGTTGAAAGCCTCAAGTTCCTGATCCCTATGACTTTTTTACTATAGCTCTTTGATCAATATTCCCTGTCCCTTCATATCCAGTTTGGAAGAATTAATCCCACCTGAGCTTAGCTGCAGAGAAGTGTTCCTATCTGTGCACTCTGTAGGAGTCTGGTGAGCCAGCTGATCACTTTACTCCTACGTGGACAGTTCAGTGTCATTGGTGGCAAAGGCTAGGAGAGGCTGAGACCAGGTCAAAAAGATGTACGCGGTGGGTTACATAGGACCCCAGGGAAGCTCGGAGCCTTCTCCTTCCACCCCAGTCCTGGGAAAAGCACCAAGACCAACTGGCCTTCCCTTAAAACTTATTATCTTGGGAACCATGGTGAAGTCTTCTGAGCATTCCATCTCCTGGCTGGGACTTAGTTTCCTTTGTTTTCCTGTCTCTGGGCTCTGAGTCCCACCTGTGAGAATATCTGTGGTTTTTCTCAATGATGTTCCAAGGCCTCTGTTTTCATTTAGATTTTAGGAAACCGGAACAGCTCAGGGATCCTAAAAGTGTACTTGAATCACTGTGGGAAATGGCCAGAGGGTAGGGAATTGCTGGTCATGGCTATGGCTAAGCGTGGTCAATATAGCTGTTTAGGGTTTAAAACCAAAGGTGCGAGTTCTGGCACGTGCAAGATGCCTGTGCTACTGATCACCACAGTGGTTCCTGACCAGAGGCGAAGGCAGCGAGCCTGTCCATACCCTCAGCAACAAGCCAAAGACAGTCTCCATCCTGAGATCCCAGTGTCCTCTTCCACCTACCTGATGTGGGATGCCCTTCTGAGTATGTGTTGCTTTTATTGGTTGATGAATAAAGCTGTTTTGGCCAATGGCTTAGCAGAATAAGTCTAACCAGGGAGTCCAAACAAAGATACAGAGAGAGTGGGCGGAGTCAGGGAGATGCCATGTAGCTGCCAAAGGAGAAAAATGCCAGAACATTACCAGCAAGCCACAGCCTCTTGGCGATACATAGATTAATAGAAATGGGTCAATTTAAGATGTAAGAGCTCTCTAGGAATATGCCTAAGTCATTGGCCAGTGTTGAAATTAATATGATTTCTGTGTGATTATTCAGGTCCCGGCATCTGGGAAACAAAAGCGTGGTAGAAATGGTTTTGTGGGTCCCAGTGGAGTGTCACTGTATGACCCTGGCAAGCATCTCTATCCCTGCCTACTAACAACAACTCTCTCCCATTATGACCACAAAAGGCTCAATAGAACATCTCCAGATGGGCCCTGTTCAGGGCTTCCTGACCTACAGGGGACTTAATTTGGAGTTGTTACTGTTCTTTCACAGACCCACAGAGGTTTTTGATAAGTGTATTTTGCCCAAATGGAGCAGGTAACTTTACAGTTGGGTTTGAAGATCTGGGTATAGCCAGTTCACTCACTTATCGACAAGTTAGGGGGTACAGTCTTTTGCCCTATGCATCCCTCACCCCCAGCATCAGAGACTGCAGCATGGGACAGCTGAGACACGGTGCGCCAGCCCTCTTGTCCTGACCCTCTGCCCTCTGTGTCCCAGAATGGTGTTCTTCCTAGAGCATGTCATGACGTGCACGAAACGGTCGCTGGAATGGATCGCTGGCTGGCTCCCTCGACACTGCATAGGGGCCGTCCTGGTTTCTCTACCTGCCCTGGCTGTCTATTCACACATCACCTCTGAGTTCGAGACAAACATACATGTAAGTAGCAGCATACCAACTTCTCCCCGTGCTTTCCAGGCTCCCAGTGCCTTCTCTCACTTTAAGTCTGATTTCTTGGGATAGGGATGACATACAAGTCCTCAAAGAGTACCCTCTGTTCCTGCTTCCAGCCATCCTCCTCAGACACCAAGCATGAGCTGGGCGTGGTGGCATATCCCTGTGGCCCAGCACTTGGAAGGTGGAAACAGGAGCATCAGGAGTTCAGGATCATCCTCAACTACATAGAATTTGAAGATAGTCTAGACTGTATATACAACACCCTATGTCAACAGACACACACATACACACACCAGACAAAAACTTGGCAGGGTAGAGCTGCCTACGGCTATGCCGGAAAAGTACAAGGCTTTTCCAACCTCATTTAGTATCCATCAAGTTTCAGATCAATTACAGGCAATCTTGACTTGAGTTTCAGCCTTTTGGCCTTACAATGGTGCAGAAGTATACCCAAAGAACAATTCTGATTTCACTGCCATACTTTTCAGCCATTTTGCTAAGATCACGTGAAGGTTGTTTTTCCCTTTCAGAGCTCAGTGAATAATGGCAGATAGCAAATAGGCTTGGCATTGGATGGCTTTGTCCAGCTGTGTGATTATGTAGGAGTTCTGAGCGCGGCTAAACTAGATCAAGCTATGGTGTTTGGAAGCCTAGGAGTCTTTAAATGCCTTTTTATTTATGATAATTTTCATTTGTCACACTGTTCTTTTTAATTCTGGGGATGCTGAGGCTCAGACCCAAGACCATGCTTATATGTGGCAGGTATTCTGCCATGGAGTCACATCCCCAGCCTAATGGTGTAAAGGATGTACTGAGACGGAGCCCTGCAGCAGTGCACCCATTTGTACCTGCTTTATAAAGAGGCTTCTGCCCCATGAGCCCATTCTCAAGACAATATGCCTGTCTGTTACAGCCACTGACAGGCACCTGGATCAGCTGCTGCTGCTCTGGGAAGGAGCTTTGGAGTTAACTCCATGAAGAATGAGCTAGTTATGGGAAAGATTTGCTTCTTGGCCTTTAGGCTGAGCTCCACTGCAGTGTATGTCTGAGCGTGAGAAGAGCTACCAGGCTGTAGTGATATTTCATTTGTATTTTAATAAATAAAACTTGCCTGAAGATCAGAACGCAAACAGCCACACTAGTCAGCCATAGAGGCCAGGTGGTGGTGGTGCACGCCTTTAATCCTAGCACCAGAAAGGAATATAAAGTGGAATGAGACAGGAACTCGCTCTCTTTCAGTCTGAAGATTTCATAAAGGTAAGAGCTCTCTAGTAACTTGACTGCTTTGCTTTTCTGATCTTCAGGTTGAACCCCAGTAACTGTCTCTTGGTTTTCATTAATCATGCTACACTAGGGGGATCTAGTGTCTTAGCATCAGCTCATATCTCAGTGCTCATAGCAGGACTAAGGACGGTGACTGATCCCACAGTGATAGGGTCCCAGTAAGCAGCTTCCCTTTTCTGTCCGTCAAACTGCTGTGTGTCATTTTACATGCCTGGAGGAATACTCTCCTAGCAGTGCGGACACATAACCTCATGTGCTGCGCTATGGGACAGACATGTGGTCTGTATATAAAATTGGTAGTTACCCAGAGAAAGACCTCTGTATGTTTTATGGCTGCTTCTTGTCACCGTGACCCAGTGTGTGATGAGAAACATTGTAAGGGGCAGAGAATTGGTTCGGGCTTGGGACTTCAGGGTGTATAGTGGGGAAGAAATGGCTCTGTAGTAGTCTGGCTGAGGCTCCATGTCTCCTTACAGCTCGGAGAGACAGGAAGCAGAGATGGGAAAAGAAGTAAACTAGACTACAAACCTCAAGGCCCTGCCCTCTAGAGACCCACTTCCTCCTGCTAGGCTCTACTTCCCAAAGATTCCACAACCTCCCAGAATAGCGCCCCTAGCTGGGGACGGAGTGTTTCAAACTCAGAACTCACACGTCTCTGGGGGACTCTACACTCGAGCATCACAAGTGTTAGCAGAGATGCTTGATGTCGGACAGAGCACGGGTGTTTTTGCGGACAGGATGGGAGCACTGTGGAGGTGGCCAGACCGCTAACAGAGCCTTCTCTTGCAGTCCACCATGTTCACGGGCTCTGCGGTGCTGGTGGCCGTGGTGCACTACTGTAACTTCTGCCAGCTCAGCTCCTGGATGAGATCCTCCCTTGCCACCATTGTGGGCGCTGGGCCGTTGCTTCTGCTCTACATCTCCCTGTGCCAGGACAGGTACGTGACCGCACTCTCAGCTCATGCCTTCCCTGCCTAGCATCTCTTAGGCTCAGCAACGGCTCCGTGCTAGTGCTGTGTGATGTGTTTTCCATCATGACTTGAAATAGCTTCCAGCACACGTAGTACCCAAAGAGTACCAGCTGGGGATGTGGCCTGCCTGGCCTGCAAAGGCCCTCAGTTCAGTCCCAGGACTAACTTCCCAAAAAGAAAGAAAAAAAAAAAGCCTAAAAGTAATAAAGTGCCATAAGGATGATAGGAGAAAGATAAAACCATTTACAACAGCGAACCACAGGTGGAGCATCCTTAATCTGAAAGCCTCAACTCTGAATGCTAGAAAATCTAAAATTTTGAGTCTTGGTATGATTCCATTGCCAGAAGTGTGATAACTCGGGGTCCACAAGATTTGATCCATGCACAAAATTATTTAAAAATGTGTATAACATTACTTTCAGTTTTTGTGTATAACATGTATATATTGAAATACAAGTGAACTTTGGACTTAGACTTAGTTTCTGTCCCTAAAAGATACCTACATCGTTAGTTGTGTGCATGTATTCAGAATTCCACAAGCATGAGCCAAGCTGCTTGGATTTGGGAACTCGACCTGTATATATTTGAATACAGACGTCCGTGGGTGCCTGCCTCTCAGACACATGACTGTGGTAGGATACTGACTTTCATGAACTGGGATCTAAGAAAGGCCTGAGGTTATTTCACATGAGAGTCAGGATGATGAAAGAGCCAAGGAAAAGCCAGAGGAATGCAGGTCTGAAATCCCTGTACTCGGGAAGCTGAGGCAGGAGGATTTCAAATTTGAGTCCAGCCTAGGCTGCATAGCAAGACTCTGTCTCAAAAAAACTAAAAGAGAATTCTGGGAGCATGGTGGAGAGACAGACCTTTAATCTCAGCCCACAGGAGGCAGAGGCAGGCAGAACTCTGTGAATTCGAGGGCAGGCTGGTCTACAGAGCAAGTTACAGGACAGCCAGAGTTACACAGAGAAACCCTGTCTCAAAAAAAAAAAAAAAACAAAACAAAACAAATGAACATAAAGCACAAACTGGACCTGGAGAGATGGCTCAGAAGTTAAGAGGTCCTGAGTTCAATTCCCAGCACACATGGCGGCTCACAACCATCTATTATGAGATATGGTCCCCTCTTTTGGCAAACAGGCAAACATGCAGATGGAACACTGCATATGTAATAAATAAATAAAACTTTTTTAAAGCATAAAACACTCCCACAAACAAAAAAAAAGCAAAAAACAAAACAAAAAAAAGTCCAAAAAAACTAGAAGAACCAAGCTTGGTGACACAGGCTCATAGTCTCACCACACGGTGAGTAGAAGAAGGAGGGTTTGGAAGGAGTTCAAGGCCTTTATGGCCATACGTCTGAGGCCTTCTGGGCTACATGAGACCCTGTTTCATGGATAAAACAAAAATAAAAACTATACTTCTGGCAGGGGCTAAGGAGAAGAAAGTGTGATGTAGACAGAAGAATTGGAGTCACGGGGCTGGAGAGATGGCTCAGTGGTTAAGAGCATTGCCTGCTCTTCCAAAGGTCCTGAGTTCAATTCCCAGCAACCACATGGTGGCTCACAACCATCTGGAATGAGGCCTGGTGCCCTCTTCTGGCCTGCAGGCATACACACAGACAGACAGAACACTGTATACATAATAAAAATAAATATATATATATATATAAAAGAATTGGAGTCACATGATGGACCTCTGGAGGCAGGATCAGTTCTCACTGTGCTGCAAAACAAGAGGGACATTTAAACCCTGTTAAGAGCCAGGCATGGAGTTCACACCTGTAACCCCAGAACTGGTGAAGGGGAGGTGAACACAGAAAGACAGCAAGTTTGAGGGTAGTGTGGGCCCCAGAGTGAGGCCTCATCCAGTCAAACCAAGCAAGCAACCAGTCAACAAAGTGAAATAAAAACACCCAATGTGGACAGAGAGCACTGAGATTGCTTTTGGCTGCAGGTTCCACCAGGTGCATCATATTTTGTTCTTAGTTTGCTAAAATGTATCTCAAGTTTCCTGTTACACCAGCAACCGGCTTTGTCCGCTAAGTACATAGTTGGAAATGGAATAGAGAGTAGGATAGCAGAATGCTAACAGTTAGTACTTAAACAGTTCGTGATCTCTTAAGCCAATTAATCTTCTGTCTGTGTAAGAACATCTAAATATCAGGCCTTTCTCATAACTCCTTAGGGCGGTGCTTCCCAGGTGCAGTAGAGAACCACCTGTTTATAAATCCGCGGTGACCAGGGTGGACAGGTTGTTTAAAAGTTGCAGTGGACATTTCTCCATTATATGTTTCAGGACATCTAACATGTCTGGCATTCCTGCTCCCTAACTTATTATCACGACTAGAGACTGCCATATTTCCCAGGGGCCCCTTAGGAGTGTCATTGCTGTCACTGTGGACCAGCGCTTTAGTTAACACTGCTCAGCACTATTAGCTGTGTCCTCGGGTAATCAGAGGGCACTGGTGATCCGTGAGCAGTGTGACTTTCTATGCTCGGTTTCCTCACCGTTTTATAGCAGTGTGGAACATATTCGTGTTCTCTGCAAACCAAGAGCAAAAGGGAATTTGAAGCGGAGCTGCCAGCCAATAAGAGGCTGTGACTAGGAATTGCGTTAAGTGAACTGAGGCTGCCTTCTGCCTTTGTGGGGCATCTGGATTCCTGGCCATTACAATGCTCTCTACAGAGAGTATGGACTTCAACCATACTTCAGCCAGCCTTTAACTTCAGATGCTGTGAACTACTAACGGTGACCGTTAGTCCCAGCTTTGGCTTGTGATCCAGATAGACAAAGTAGCGGCCTCCCGTCTGCCTTCCTGCTATAATGCAAACAGCAGGTTTTGGAGTGGAACTAGCAGGTGAAGCTTACCTCGAACCAAGACCCCCTCCACATGGAGGGCCCTCTGAGCCTACAGCCCAGTTCCAGTTGTTGCTGGAATTATCAGGGTTCAGTGCTTGTCAGGCAGTAAACAAAAGCCTAAATTTGCCTTTCCTTTTACCAAAGAGAAGTGTTTGAAGTCCCGCTATCTGTCTAAAATATTTCTCTGTTTAACCTTGAAAACCATACCTAACATGACTACAAGTTTGATTATTATAGATGATTAACTACTAACTTGTCTTTCTTTATTATCTTAAATAGCTTTCAAGGACTAAAACTTTGCATTATATTTTTAAAGATTTTTATTTATTTATTTACCTAGATTAGTGCTCTGTCTGCATGTACTCCTCTATTCCAGAAGAGGACATCAGATCCCCACCATGGATGGCTGTTAGCCACCTTGTGGCTGCTGGGAATTGAACTCAGGTCCTCTAGAAGAGCAGTCAGTGCTATTAACCCCTGAGCCATCTCTCCAGACCCTTGGGTTGATTTTGATAATGTCTTTTTTGTTTTTTGTAATATTTTTATACATTATCTTTCCAGTTCCGTGGTGATGTCACCCTTGGATACAGCACAGAACTTCAGGTAAGTTTTCAAGCTGGGCATGTGTCTGATAAGTGAGAGCAGCCATCTTTCCATTCTGTCTCTGAAGGCACACATGCCCCAAATAAACTGTACAAGTGTGTGTGCGTGCTTGTGTGTGTTAGGTTGAGAAAGCAAGCAATAGCTGTGTGTTCAAGTGTCCAGACACAGTTGTATCTTACTGGGAAACTGAGTGGTCACTAAGTCATTTATTAGAGTTAGTTTAATTTTATGCAAGACTTTAGCACGTTATGTAGGAACTCTCACAAATCAAAGAAAAATATTTATCATCTAAAGTATTTTGACTTGGAGCCATCCAATGGCTCTTCTGTTAAAGGTGCCGTGAGAAAAGCAAAAGCTTGATCCTCAGAAAGGTTGGAAAAGCAACTCCCCTGGCCTCTCCACATGACCTCGTCATGCCACACAGACAGTGATAATAAATAATCTAATGAGATATTTGAAATAATTAATATTTGAACTTTTAAATTAAATATTTAACCCTTGCTTTATGCTAAACATAAAAGTAAATTCTAAATAAATTGAAGGGTAACAGGTAAAAATTATGTGTGCCGTGTACATTCATATCTACAGCCACACCTGCCCCTGTATTAATACATGCAGACATGCATAACACGAAATAAAAATAAATACTTAAAGTATAACAATTATAAAAATTTTAATTTTCATACCTCTTAAGACAGATAATTTTCCATTCTTATCAATAATAAATAGGTTACAAGGAAAATAATGAATGACAAATTAAAAAGGAAAGGAAGGAAAGCCAAAACAGACAAAAAGCGCACAGAAATGAAATTTCGACAAAGTACTCAGAGTTCACAGAAGAAATATATCACATATTAACCACATTTCCCAATCCTGGAACCCAAACGCAGGGCACTGAACATGATGTGCCAGTGTTCTCTGCTGATCTTCAACTCAGCTTAAATTGGGCCCTCGAAAAGTAGTAACACGATGCCGACCGTGCCGTGCAAGCCTGTGATGCTAGCACTCTGGAAGCTGAGGCAAGAGTATTGCTGTGAGTCTGAGACAAGTGACAGTGTGGTCCTGTATGTGCAGCCCTAATAGACCCCACATGTCCACAGATGCCTTGCCTTGCTCGCTAGTTAGAGCCGCAAGTGCCTCTTGCTTTCTCTTTGTTTGGTTTATTTTTCTATTTTAAAGCCCCTCTTTTGCATGGTAATAGACATGCATTATTATTAACTCCCATTCATAGTTTAATGTCCCAGTATTCGGTTATAAGTTGACTCTTACATTTATTCTCCTCAAATTCCTCTTTTGGACTGGGCCCTGATGGTGCAAACCTGTAATCTCAGCTATGCAGAAGGCCAAGAGAGCAGGAAAGCTTGCATGGGCTGCAGAGTGAGCTCAAAGCCAGTCTGAGCAACTTTTTTTTAAGACTCTGTCTCAAAATGGAAATGAAAACTAACACACCAAAAGTCTCCCTTTGAAAACTGACCTTTGCTATTTGAATCTAGAACTGGACTTGCCCACCTTTGTCCATAATCTTAGAGTAAGAATTGCTGGTTGTTTCGCCATATGCCATAATCCCAGCACTTGGGAAGTGGGGGACATCAGGGTCATCCTCAGCTACATAGTGAATTAATTCCAAGACAGCCTGAGTGACCTGAGACCCTGTGTTAATAAAACCAAATCTGGTATAGGGCACAGTGGCTTGGAAAGTACAACACTGACTGCTTAACACAGAAAGAGAACCGACTCCACAGACTTACCCTCTGACCTTGACACATGCATTCATTTATCACACACACACACACACACACACACACACACACACACACACACACACGCACGCTAATAAAGTGTTTTTAAAGGTATGGGCCAATGAGAAAGTTCATTGGTGCTTGCTGCCAGCTCTTTTGACCTAAGTTCAGTCCCCCAGGAAACTGGGGCAGCAGAATTACTGCAGGCTTGAGGCCAGCAAGTGAGGAGGGAGCGAGCCTGCTGTTCTTCAGTGCACAACATTGGAAAAAGCAAAACGAAACTTAGCCCCATACTAGCAAGCCATGCTCACACGAGACAGGGTTGGCTTCTCCGCAGCTCAGACCCTTTCCCAGCTCTGCTTAAAAGCCAGCCAGAGAACTTCAGGCTGGACTGAAATATGTTTTAGTCAGTTAAACAAAGTGGTCACTTTGTTCAGCGTTTGAGAATCATAGGCATTACCATTTGTCTCAATGAAATAAGTAAAACAAATAAGCATGGGTATCCTACCATAGAGAGCTCTGTCCCGTTCCCAACCGCTGAGCTGTGAGACCCATGCCAGGTCCCCAGGCCAGCCTCGCTGGATTCTAGGGTTCAGCGCACTGCAGGGGTCAGCAGAGGAGAAGCTTTTCTCAGGGGCCCCTCCCGGTGAGCTGACTTAATAGCAGACCACGTACAAAGCCTGGAGGGAGAGTGTGTGGTCAGCAAGAATTGCACTGCCTGTGCAACCAGAGACCACTGGCGCTGTCACCCAAGGATAACGGAACCTTCCCCAGTCCCTGTCTTTCTAAGGGTGGTGGCCTCCCCTGCCGACCTGGCACCAAGTCCTGGCTGGGAAGGTGTGGTTTGCCAGAGGCCCCCATACTCTCCAGGTGTCCTACCAGGGCAGCCCACAGGGCCAGTCCAACGGCAGGGCTTTTGTGACGGCACTTTGGGGAGTCTCAGTGACCTCAAGTTTACTTTTCCTTCTTCCTTTTTTCTTTCTTTCCTTTCCTTTCTTGTCTTTTTTTTTTTTTTTTTGAGATAAGATCTCGGTAGCCCAGGCTGGCCTTGACTTGCTGTGTACTCAAGGACAACCTCCAACTCTTGCCACTCCTGTCTCTGCCTCCAAAGTGCTAGGGTAACAGATGTGTGCCACCAGGCCTTCCCAAATCCATTATTTTTAAATACCCTTATGTCAGAGGTAACAGTAAAACTTTAATTAAATAGTGTGGCTAAGGAATTAAGGTTTCTGTATCCTAGACCCATCTCACCTGAGGACACATCAGCTTTCTATCCATTTATATGGACATAGTCACCAAGTCCACCATTACATAAAATCTAACAGCCTACCTCGGGCAGTTTAGAAATGCATTAACTTGTAAAACTGATAGAAACTGAATAGTCACAGTTACTCTAAAAGTAGAAGGGGAGGGAGGGAGGAAGAGGGAAACTGGAATGTTAGCGTTAACTGACCTGGGTAGTAGGACAATGGATGAATCAGTTTTTAAATTTTTACCTTTTCCCCAAATTTTTCTATGATTGCGCATGCAGTATTTTTAACAGAGGAAAAAAGCCTAAGCGAGTTTGGTGGTGTATGCTTGGGAAGTGGAAGCAAGAGGATTAGAAATTCAAGGTTAGCCTTAGCTGTGTAGCAAATCCAGGAAGTGTGGCCTCTAGGAGAATGGTTTGAAGGCTGGGGCCATAACTTAGAGAACGTTTGCCTAAATGCAAGGGCCTGGGCTCAATCTCTAGCACTGAAAAGGAGTTCTTGGGAATGTCTAATTAAATTCTAAATGCACAACATTTAAAATTATTCAATAATCCCAGTATATGCAAAGGAGGATATAGTTCCCAAGAATGTAGAGAACACACAATTCAACTCTGTAAATTTCTAAGTCTCAAGAAAGAAACATTATGTAACATCACAGATGCTTTTACAAGAAATGATGACAGGCAATCGAATTATTCTAAGTGTAAATTAGTCTCTAGTTGTGATCAGAATTTATACTTAGAAAATAAAAGACTGTGAATAAAAGAGAAAAAAAAGACGAGGGTACAGGAATGTTCCCTGAAATGTTATGTTTCATCGTAACTGCAGCTCCCTCAGCATGAGCATGGTGCATCCCTGTCTTAGATTCCTCCACAGCCATGACGGATAGAGCTATGTGTCACCTCAGAGGAAAGACTGTCCCACTCTGTGCTGACTGACACCCTCACCATGTGCAGTAGATGTCACCAAGTGTACACATCTCGTATTCTTTTTGAAAACGCTAAGATTGTCTCAAATGGTCTTGTCTAGGGAGATACACACTAAAACAGTTAGACCAGCAACTTACTTTCAAAATGTTTCGGAAAAACTACTTGTGTGTGTCAGTGTGTCTGTGTCTGTGTGTGTGCTGAGAGGAAAAGCAGAGAGGCAACATTTAACAGTTGTTAAATCCAGGTGAAGAGCTTCCGAGTGTTTGTTTTTATGAAACTTAAAGTTTCCATAAGGTTGAGATTTTCTAAAAGAAATAGTTGAGGAGAAAGAAAGGATCTTTTTTAATCTAATGAATTCTTTTATAAAGCAGTTACAGCTGGGCTTAGTGGTCCGGGTTTGCAAGCCTGTCGTGTCGGTATGGAGGCAGGAGGATAGATGCAAGGCCAGCCTCCAGCAGTTCATGGTCAACCTTGGCTGCATGAGACCTGGTTTCAAGAAACCAAATCAAATGTAAATAAAACAAAAGTGTTCCTGAAGCCTGCAGAATAACCAGGCTGCTTTCAGGCCTCGCGAGGGTAATACTCAGCCACCCTGAGCAAAGCATTCTCACCGTCTGAGCAGGTTTGGAGCACTCCCTTAGAGGTGTTCTGAGCAGGTTT